GCGAGGTCACCTGCCTGCTGCCAGCCCAGAGGAATGGTGTCTTAAACAAGACCAGGTCTGGGAACCGGGCTGGAACCTGAGCCCAGCCAGGCAAGAGAGAGGCCCCCATTTAGGACCGCCCATTGCCCAGCCCACTGCCCCCACCCAGTGCTGACCCAGAGCGCACGTGCAGCCAGGAAGGCCCCAGCAGAGTGTGGGGACGAGAGATGAGGCTCCCGAGGCTGGGGGGTGCACAGAGCTGACCAGACGCCCCACACATGGGCCCCCCAGAAGCTGTGTCCTGCCCACTGAATCAGAACAGTGCCATGGGCCTGTGAGATCCAGGCTCTCTGGTCTGTAAGCACCCAGGAGAGGCTTCGTTGTTCGGCCTCCACTCACAACACCCCCTCCAGGTGTCCCTTTCTGACCTGCTGCCCCCAGCTCCAATCACTGGTCTCTGGATCCCCCCAGAACCCCATGGAGACACCCTGTTTCCAATGCTTGAACTGGGGCAGAAATCATCAAGCCACCAAAGGCTTCCAGCCCAAGAAGCCCCCATCCCAGGGAGCAAGTCTGTCCTGCTGTGCAGAGCCAGGGCTCACAGGGCCATCCCTGGACTTCCAGTGCCCCGGGCGGCAGGTGTGACCCCCTCGGCCCCCAGCCTGCATCCCACTGGAGGATGGCAGGGAGCTCAGAATGCCTGTTTGTGGAGCAAACTTGGAGGGGTCAACCTGACCCAGCAGAGGCACGAGAGGCTCCTGGGCATCGTCCTGCCCCGGACAGTGTCTGGTGTGAGATGCTGTGGGTCTGGGAGGGGCCGTGCTCTCCTAGTCCCCGCCACAAGGCACTGGGGGCCCCCACGATGCCTGGGGCGTGAGTGGCCTGGACGCTGGAGGGAAGGCCACCCGCTGGCTCTCCGGCTCCCGCTCGCTCAGGGCCCTCCTGCGTGCACATGCAGGTACATGTGGGCTGCCGCGGGCCGGGCGTGTCCCAATTAGCCCATTATCTTGGGAGTTCTTACCGAAAGCAAAACAAACCAAAAAAGTCCTGGTTTTGTCCAGGTTCCTCCCTACTGCCAAGTGGGTCTCACCTCGGCTTCCAGGGTCCTCTGGCTCTGTAGGACCCTGGGGCTCTGTACAGGTCTGAGTTAGGCCTCCACCGCCTCGGCCTCAGGTCCAGGCTTCCCTTTTATTGGCAGTTTGATGGGAGGTGGGAGCCGGGCCCCAGGCAGAGCCCCCAACCCAAGCAAAGAAGGAAATAGGGAGAGGAGCTCGTGGGCAGAGTCCTCAGAGCCGTGCGGAAGGAAAGGCCTCTTGAGATGCCCAGGGAGGCTGGTGATGCAAAATGCCGCCCAGGCTTCCTCGGCACTGCGGTTCCAGCTGCACTCAAAGCTGCAGCTGCAAAGCCTCTGCCATCTGATGGGCACCGTGACCACAGGCAGAGCGAGAGTGTAGGGGGTGTCCCTGGGGAGGCAGGAACGGAGGAGGCCCAGGACAGACTGGCCTACTGGCCCTGGGGGAGGAGGGGGCTTCAGAGGCACCTGACCACAAACTGTCACTGAGCCGAGGGCTCTGCTGGGGGAGGCTGCGTGGGGCTCTGGCCCGCCGGGGGTGAGGTGCAGGGCTTGGGGTGTGTTGCACGTGGAGCGGATGTTTCTCTGCATCTCACTGGAACTGCACTGGGGCCTGCCTGCTGGAAGGCTCCGGGTTCCCTCCTGCCCTGTTGCTGCTGGGCGCAGAGATCCTATCAGCTCTCCCCTAGGTGCAGTGACTAATTCCCTGGCACCCTCCTCACGTCATTAAAGAATGTGGACAAGTTAAAATATGAACCGTGTCGTCCTGTGTCTGCTCCCTGCTTCTCCCGCGCAGGGGAGGTGCGGGCTCTTGGCTCCGCTGGCCTGGGCCGTCCTCTTGTCAGGGATGGAGCAGAGAGGGGGTGAGGACCCTGCCCTCGTCCGCGGGAGAGGCCGTGGCTGCACCATCCTTGTTCAGGGGGATCAGATGAGTCCAGGAGGGTCCTGCTGCCCAGGACCCCAACCCGCTTAGGGAAGACCCTTCTGGGAGGGTCACGCTGGTCACCTGAAAGAGAGAAGAGACCATCGAGACTTGGGGGTGGCAGGCTGGGACCCAGTATTGGGGGTGGGAGGGGCCGGCTCATGTCCCGTCCTCATTCCTGAGCAGCGGTGGGGGGCGTCCTGCCGCCTGTCCCGCCCCCTTCATCACTCGCAGGTCCGCTAGCTCATCCGTCCGTCCGTCCATAGTCCGTCTGTCCGTTCGCTCAGCAGGCCTCCTGAGCAAGCCCCCTCTGTAATGAGAACTGGGTCGGGACGGGTCTCGTCCAGCGCCGTCCTATAGACTAGAATTTGAGCCTCCTGCGTATTTTGCATGTTCTGTAGCCACATTCGAAAGGGTGAAAAGAAAATGGTGGGAGTGATTTAATAATTTAACTTGTCCCAAACCGTGATTGTTTCAGCATGTGATCAATTTGAAATTACAAACGAGGTGTTTTGCATTCTCACTGTGGCCCTATGTCCTCCCCCTGTCGGGTGGACTCACAGGACAGCAGGGGACCTTGCAGGGCTCGTGGTCCAGCACAGGAGACAGGCAGAGCCCTGCCAGAGGAGGGTCACTGAGACACGCAGACCGGTGTGTGACAGCACACGTGGGGCGTGGCCAGAGCTGGCCCCTTGGATCAGTGACCTCCGAGCTGACACCAGGAGGGGTGAGGGCCGGGTCCCTCCCTCTGCGTGTGTTTTCACAGCTTTATTAAGATAGAATTCACGTACCATACAGTTCACCCCTTTAAAGTGCACAATCCAGCGGTTTTTAGCATCTGCACAGTTACGTGCAACCATCCGCTGCCAATGTCAGGACATCTTCATCACCCCAGAAAGAAATCCTGCGCGCCGTTAGCTGTCTCCTCCCCCATCCTGTCCCCAGCCCCGCAGCCACGAATCCGCTGTCTGTCTCTATGCATTTGCCTCTTCTGGACATTCTGCACAAGGTGGAGTCATCCCGTCTGTGGCCTTCTGTGTCTGGCTTCTCTCTGACCATGATGTGTTCGTGGCTCATCCACCCTGTAGTGGGTGTCGGTGCCTGTGGGGACATATGGCAGTTTGGTTATTTATTTGCCTGTCAGTGGACACTGGTGTCCCATGTAGGTCCTGTGGAAAAGAATTTAGGAAGGTCATGGGGAGCCCAACAAAACCAGGGAAGGAGGCCTTGGCTGTGTCGGCGAGGTGGGCAGGGTCTGCCCTGCAGGGGGACCCTGTCCCATTGGTGGTGGCCCCCGGGTTTACAGCCCACGCAGCTTCAGCAAGAGCCAAGGCCCTCACAGCTGAGCCCGTGTGGCCGTCCCTGCACTGAGCCCTGCTGTGGGGTACGATCCACTCTGGGTGGCAGTAAGCTGATCCCAGGCTGGAGCATTCAAGAACAGCACCTGACTGGCCGCAGGAGGCCTCGGCAGTAGTGGTGTTGGCAGTGACAAGAATGAGCCACCTGTCACCCTCCCCCTCCAGCTTCACCTGGAGGAGGTTCCTCCATGCTGGGCAGCCTTCAGCAGAGGACTGTCCCCTGACTTGCCTTGCGTCTGTTTCCATCAGATGCATAGCATGGTCGAGGTCTGGGACAGCTTGAGCCCCCCGAGGGCAGGGAGGTCCCCCTGCTCTTGCTGCTCATCTCTGCCCCTGTTCCCCCCTTCACCCGAGGTCCCAGTTCATGGTCTCTGTCATCCCTGGGGTTCTCGGCTCGCTGCCTGCTGACCGCCAGTCTCCTGTATCACTGCCAGGGCTGCTGTATCACTGGAGCAAATCCTTTTCCCTGCTTTGTGCCTCAGTTTCCTCATCTGAAAGACAGGGACAATAGCAGTGCCCACCTTGGGTCTGAAGTGGGTACTAAATGAGTTTGTGTACATTGAACCCGGGAATGTCCCTGGCACAGAGAAAGCTCTATTTAGGCGTCTGCGATTAGACGTCCACTCTGGCCAGCCTTTGTGTATTGTCCTCCAAAACCTGTCTCCTGCTTGAAGCCTCCAGATTTGGTAGGGGGTGGTTTTCCTCGGTGGCCCTCTAGGTGAGATCTGCTCTGCCCTAGATTGGAGGCACTGAAGTGTGGGACCCCATCCCCTCTTGGCCCAGGACTCCATGGAGGGTGACCCAGGGACACACTCACTCGAGTTTCTACTCCTTGGGAGTGTGGTCCTGGGGAGGGGCTGGGCTGCCAGGACCCTAGGGAGGGGCCTGAGAGATTGCATCCAGCCAGAGAACTCTGCCAGCAGGAGGGCTGGGGGTGGGGCTGCCGACCCCACCTGGGGCTTCTCTGGCCCCTGAGTGGGGAGCAGCCATTCTAATGGCGATGAGCTTAAAGAAGCCTTTTAAGGGCGGTGATCTGGGCCCCCGGGGACCAGTGGGGAAATGTGGCTTAGCTGCTAATGTGTACCCCGACCCTGTCCCACCACCTAGACAGCTGGACTTAGGGGCCAACTCTAGTCCCCCAGGGCCTCCCAGGCACCTCATGCACCAGGCCCAGGTGTGCCCGCCCTGTGCCCCACCCCCCTCCCCCACTGCCTGGCTCCCTGGAGCTGGGGTCTCCCCTCTTTGAGCTGTAATGGGGGTGAGGGGTGAGGAGGATGTCCAGACTTTCACGCTGCCCCTGGAGAGCTCAGTGGAGCTCGTGTGGGTGTCAAGGACTGGGAGTCCCCCCACCGGACAGCTCCCCTCCAGGTGTGCAGACTTGACTCCACCTCGTCAAAGGCTGGGTGGATCCCCAGAAACCCTGGCACCCGGGGAGGCTGAAGGAGAGGGAGGCGAGGTGAATATGTCAGTTTATCCCAGCACAAGTAGTGGCCTGTTGGGGTGGGGGGGGACCCGAGGAAATATTTGGGATGACTGGAGCTGGCTGGCCCTTTAAGGCTCCTGTAACAGGACACCTCCCAGGACGGGACGGGATGGGACGGGGCTGAGGCTTCCTCCCTCCAGCCCACTGTGTGTGTTTCTCCCTCCCTCCTCCCCTCCGGCGCGCCAGGCCCAGTTCAATCTGCTCAGCAGCTCCATGGACCAGATGAACAGCCGCGCGGCCTCGGCCAGCCCCTACGCCCCGGAGCACGCGGCCAGCGTGCCCACCCACTCGCCTTACGCGCAGCCCAGCTCCACCTTCGACGCCATGTCCCCAGCACCTGTCATCCCCTCCAACACGGACTACCCTGGCCCCCACCACTTTGAGGTCACTTTCCAACAGTCGAGCACGGCCAAGTCGGCCACCTGGACGGTAAGTTATCCCCTGCTTGCAGAGGGCATCTGGCGGGTTGCGGGCTGGGGGGAGTGGCTGCATCCTGGGCAATTAGGGAGGGCCGAGCATGATCTGCTGTCCACATGTGGTTCACACTTGGCCCTGGCCGGGAGGAGCATTGGGCAGGAGGCGGGTCTTGGGGCTGGGCAGTCTGGATGTGCCCACCCCTCGGATGACTGGTCAGAGCCGACCAGCCTCCTGCAGGCCCCCAGAGGGGACGGATGTGGCCCCGCCAGTGAGGTCCACAGGGCAGGGGCAGGCTGTCTCTGCCAAGATTCTCTGGCCAGCTTCCCTGCACTCACTTGGAAGCTCTGGTTTGTAATCCTATCCCAGGCAGAGGCAGGGGCTCTGCTGCTGAGGCTCATCTGAGCCTGGCCCTGGGGTCCACAGAAGCCGCCTCCTCCAGGCAGCAAGGGGTGTCTGCTGGTTGGTGGATGTGGGTTTTGCCTGCACTGAGTCTGGGGTGTCATCTCTGAGCATTGGGGTGTGACAGGGAAGTCAGGAACGGAAGCACAGCTGAAGACTCAGGTACTTGGTGCGGTACCCCTGGGACAGTCTAGCCTATAGCGGGGATTTTGCCAACTTTGATAACATTCCACATGCATGTGGCCACTAACTGTGCACCAGGCACTGTGCTGACTTCTTTGAGTTTAGTTAACTCTTGCAACCACCCAGCAGCCTACAAGGTCGCACCTATTATTGTTCCCATTTTACAGCCGAAGAAGCTGAGGCACAGGGAGGGAAACTAGCTCGCTCAGAGTCATGCAAGTAGTAAGTGGGATGCTGGAGTGGGAGCCCCGTGGCCAGCCTGGTCTGTGTTTCTAACCACTGAGCAGCCCTGCCCATACTTCTGCCAGAAAGGAAGGGGCTACCAAAAGGCATAGGGCAGAGGCTGTGGGGACTCTTGCCCAGGAGTATAGGGCACAGAGCATGGGCAGGAAGAGCAGCTCAAGGGCCTTCCAAGGAGTGTGAGCCACCCCAGCTCCCGTGGTGGGCTGCAGGAGGTGTGCCCAGCCGATCCCAGCACCTCGGGAGAGCTGAGCACGTCCCACTCGGGTGGGATGCCCAGCAGGTCTGTCCACGGGACAGCGTCCCCTGCCCCCGACAGGCTCCAACTGTACTGGCCCCCAGCCTCCACCTGGAAGTGGGACCCCTGGAGCAGAGAAGTCCATGCAGAGTGGCTGTGTTCCCAGTTCCTGTGGAGCACTGAACAGGGCCCCCCCCCAAGGCTCCTTCCTTTCAGAACCGGGTCTCATGGTTCCCACAGCCGTTCTGGCCGTAGCTGCTGTTTTCCCAGCTCCTGGGGGGTGCCGGACAGCGTGGCAGAGCCTAAGGTAGCCCCGGTCGGGCTCTGCAGTGGCTGGGGATGGTCCTGCATGGCTAGTCTGCGGTCTGGGTTCCAGGCCACGGCCCCCTGAGGGTGTTTCTGGCCCTTACTCAGTGCAGGGTCCCCCGGCTGCTGGCCCAGGGCCACGTGGGGCTCCAATGGGCAGATGACTGTGGCACCTCATCCAGGGCTCTCCACCCGAGTACCTGTGCGGTCCCCAGCACAGAGCTTAGCGCGAGGCAGGAGCCGGTGTGTTGTCTTTATTACTCTGAGGGTGGTGCTGGTGATGGGGTGCTGTGGAGCCTGGTCCTCCTGAATGAGAGGTTCTGCAGGAGTTGCACCTGCTGAGGTTTTCTCTGTACTCTATTACCTGTGGGGGTAGGGGACCAGGACGTCCCTCCACCGCAGCTTGGGGGTCCAGCTGGGTAACCTGAAGCCAGGTCAGGAGACCCCCCCACACCTGGCGTCCTATGCCTGCACACCTACAGTGACAGGCGGCTCACTACCACTCCTCTTCCATGTTCACACTTGTCCCCTCAGTCCTTTCTTTCCCCTCTAAGGGGACGGGAGGGTTCGGCCCCTCCCACACTGACATTCTGTTCTCAGGATCTGCGTTGCTGGGGTCTCTGGAGCAGTATTTCCTTGGAGTCCTGACAGGCAGCTGGTGGGAGCCCTGTCTCTCTTCCCCACGTGCTGGAGGGGTCTCTGCAGTGCAGGGAGGGCTTGGAGCAGCTCAGATCGTCTGAGCTGGTCCTCAGGAAGGGACAGGAGCTGCCCCCTCCTGGCTGCCTCCCTGTACCTGGGGGCCTCCGCCACCCCTCTGCTAGGTGTGTGGCATCAGGTTTCAGGGGACACACGGTTTGGTCTCAACTGCCCTGCCCTAAGTGGCCCCATGGAGTGGTCTGCTCAGGACCCAGCAGCCCCGGCTGGCAAACCACACCAGGTGTGCTGCCTCCCTGCAGAGCCCTCCCGAAGCCCCAGCAGAGCTGAGCTGCAGAGGAGGACCCCGCGCCCACACTCCCCCTCCAAGCCCTGCCAACACAGGGGGTGGAGGTGGGACAAACATTGATAATGAGATTTTTGGCACCTTGGCCCCCTGGGAGCAGACCCCCGAGTGCTTGGCTCCTTGCCCAGGGAGGGGCGGTGCGGGACGGGGCGCCGGGCAGCCCGGCTGCTCTCAGCTCTCAGGGTCCGGCTGTGCGGGCGCTGCCCAGAGGCGCTGCTGCGCCTCAGCACCGGCCCCCTCGGCCCTGCCACGCCGGCCGGCTGGTAACTGATAGATAATTCCTATTTGCTCAAGTACAATTCCATGCTGGCCGCTGCGTTCCTTCCCCTCCCTGATCAGGAAAAACGCCCTCTCCCACCCCGGAGTGACCACAGCTGTTAATGGGGTCTTTGGCCTCTGCTCCACTGAGGCCCACTGTGGGTCTCCCCAGCCCCGGGTGGTCCATCTGCCCTGACCAGCTTTTCTCAGATCCCAGATCTCCTTGAGCACTGGGGGGTCTGGAACCCTCAGCTCACGGGCTTGCTGTGCATGTCACACATAGACACGGGCACCCCCACACGTGCACATGCAAACATGCACACGTGATGCACACACACAGGTCTCTGCCCAGCGTTCTGACAACCCCAGACCCCCCACAGAAAGCCAGAAGGAGGCGGCGGGTTGCGGGTAACTGAGCAGCCAGAGAAGGGATTTGTGTTTGTCTCTGAGATTGTAAACCAGTGACCAGTGACCAGGCAAGGCTGGAGGGGGTGGGCGGGACACTGTTCTGCGGGACGGCGTGCAGCCGAACCACCGAGCCACCGGCTGGGGTCAGGTCACAGGTCTGCCTGTGACCACGCTGTTTCTCCCCCTCTCTGCCCCTCAGTGTCCCATCTTAAAGGGGAGGAAGCCCGCCAGTCTCAGTGGGGACACACCTGTTCTCAGAACAGGGCCTGGTGACATTTGCCATTTGCAAGTCAAATCGTCCTGGCTGCGGCTTATCCCATTTCAGAACCCACTGGGGATTTGAGGAGAGATGGGCACTGGGAAAGATCACGGTTGTAAGGGAGGGCCTGGCACCTGGTGGACAGGGACAGTTGGGTGGACAGATGGAACAGGTGGACAGTTGGACAGGTGCAGCCTGTGCCAACGCTGGTGACACCTGTTGCTTTTGTCCCAGTTTTACACCCTTCCAAGGACAGTGTGGTGCTCGGAGCACCCCCAGTGCTCTCTGCAGGGCCTGCTGCCCCCAGTGTGGCCTTGCCAGTGGAGGGGGCTGTCCTCTATGTTTGGGACATTTGGGGACAGGGCTCTGAGATTATGTAAAAAGGCTTTGTGTGGTTAGAAGCCCGGGCTCAGTGTGGCATCTGTGGGCACCTGGAGGCAGTTGTCATGAGGCAGGATGGGGGGGGTATGTGCAGGTGCGATGGCACGGCTGCCCCAGGAGCCCTTGAACAGATAGATGGCTGGACACAGCCCGAGTGACCCCAGCTGCCCTCAGACTCAGTGTGTGCATGCACCCGTCCATCGGGGGGCAAGCTGGCACCACGTGCTATGCAGGCCCCTGCCCCCAGGAGGAGCATGTGGAAAGCGGGCCAAGGAGGCACAAAGGCTCTCCGAGGGATTCCTGGGGAGAATGGGGCTGAGTCAACCCTGATGGATTCGGGAGAAAACTTTCCAGCCCCTCGGAGGTTTGCAGGCAGGAGAATAACAGCGGAGGTGTCCCAACACGATCGCGGTATCACTTGCGTTATCCTAAAAGTTTATGGAATGCACACATGGAATTAATACCTTTTACTGGCTCCGGAAGCAACCATGCATAGTTAAAGCCAAGGCAAGAGTTCGAACAGTGTTTGCTGTGGAGACGAGACATGGGTCATTAGGGGAAACAGGACTTAGGGAAAAATCACAGCAATTGCTGGTGCTGTGCGCGGCTCACAGGGGGAGCTTCCCGGGGCTACTGGATGAGAGGGGTGGTCTCTTCTCTCCAATCTGCCGAGCAGCTGGAAAAGCCCCTGGCCGCGTCGCCATGAGCAGCCTTCTCCCCCAACCCTGCCCACTGCTCCCAGCTCTGTGGGGAGGATCCTGGGGGGCCCTTGGGGACACCAGGTGAACCAACGGCAAGGAGGGGCTGACCCCTCAGAGGTCCACCTGCCCGTCCCTGGGGGAGAGGGCCGGAGGGGATGCAGCCTGTGACTTGGCCCCCAGTGAGCTCTTCTGTCACAGTTTGTCAGTGAGTGAAATCGCGGCCGGCTGGTGGAGAGTCCCACCATGGGCTTTCACTGCCTGCTTTTTATTGACACATGACAATTCCTCAAGAATGCTTTATAATTAGAACGCTCAGGGCTGACCATTGTCAGAGGTCCAGTCAGGTGGGCTGGCCCTGAGCACAGGCCACACATGCATTCAGCAGCCTGGCCTGCCCCCCCCACTCCCCCAGTTCCATGAGCCCCACTTTACTGGTGGGGAAGAGAGACCGCAGGGGAGGGCCCACCCCAGGCTTCTCCTGCACCATGCCAAGATGGGGTCCTGGGTGACCTTGAGTCCTGTGGGTCTCTGGGCAAGGTGAGGGTTGCAGCTAAGCAGTGAGTTGGAGACTTGCTTTCCAGCCTGGTGGGCTTCTGCCAGGGCCAGGGGTTGGCGGTGGGATTTTCTCAGATGCCAAAC